TTGATTTTTATCATTTATTCCATTGAACCATCTCTTGGCCTCTTTGAAATCTTTTTGTAAGCCGCCTTTTCCTTTTGCAAATATAACACCCAGGTTCCACATAGCGTTTTGTACGCATTGAAGATCTTCTTGGTTAATTGAAGAGGGTAATTGGCTATTATTGAACGATTTATTGATATTCGCTAACTGAACAGCTAGTTTATAGCATTTGACAGCTAATTGAACATCGTTCAAGTGAAATTCGTACAATACCCCAAGGTTGTAGATAGCCGCAGGAGAATGTGGATGTGACAAATATTCCCAGTGATAACGAGCAGAAGTTGAAAGCTGATGATGCTGTGGCAATTTCGAATTTGTTGACAAATTCTCTAAATAATAATTTGCAAGTGCAGCTGAAGATATTGAAGTTAATTCCAAGATAGGATCATGACTACCAGCATTTGCATTAGTTTCAGTATTTCCGATCTTGTGTCGACTTTCTTCTATAAGAAGGTTCAAAATTTCTTTAGCACGATCATTATTTTTAGGAATGACACCTTCAACTCCATTTTGCCATAGCAACGCAATCGCAAGTTTTGCAGGTAAATAACCATTTTCGCCTTCAGCCGCTTTTTGTAACCAACCCAAACTTAATCCTACATCCTTTTCAATACCTTTACCGCCTTTCTGATACAAAACACCAAGATTATATTGAGCGATTTTATGTCCATCAGAAGCCGCAAGAGTATAATACTCAATAGCCTTAGGAAGGTTAGAGTACGTAACACCACCTTTACCGTAATGATAGCATAATGCCAAATTGAATTGCGCTGAAGGATGAAATTTTTCAGATGCAAGTTGAAAGAAATGAGCAGGGGTATGTGTCGTGGAGTTTTGAGCCTTTACATTGTTCATTTGGTTATGTCTCGCATAATATAATCCAGTAATGTTTTCAGCGCGTGCAACGTTACGATTTATAAAGGTTTCGAAGTCAAAAATAGCCGATTCAAGTGGAGAACTTGAATGACACTCATTCTCAATCCCTTTTGAAACAT